GGGTCGATTCCCTATTCCACCCCGCAGTTCTCGACTTCGCTCGACCTAAATCAACCGAGAAAAAGGCCTGGTACGGGTGCTCTGGGATACCCTGTATTCGTAAGTTTTTAAGTGTATCAAGATATCTGCAAAAATTTTGAAATTCTTGCGGAGAATAGTTAAAGTTTACGTGAACATCAAAGCACTGAATTACCTCAGTGCATTTACCTTCGGCCTGAAGTACCTAGCGTTATGATGTTACCTGCAGCATGCATACCTACTGTCGGGACCATAGCGGTAGGAAATTTTCCGGTTCGTAGTTGAAAAGTCATTCGGTTAATAGTCAAGGAGAAATACAAAAATAAGGGGGTTAACCCGGAACAAATTGCTTAACAAACTTTTCCTATGTAAACGTCATCAGTAGGTCCTCCTGAACATCATACCAAAAGTTTACCACGGTCCGACCCCGGAACACCCCCCAAAATGCCTAAATTTCAAAATGGCGGCCATAATAAGGCCTCTAGGATTTCGGTTTTTAAAAATGCGCATATAGTGTCATGTGAGGTATCAATCCCTATGTAATTTTGGTCGTAAAATTCAGATATGAGGTCCAAAAAAGTCCCCCGGTCGAAGGGGGTGCCCCAAATCCAAGATGGCGGCCAATTTTGAAAGGCAGGAGGTTGAATTTTTAAAATGCGTATATAGGTTCATGTGAGGTATCATTCCCTATGTAATTTTGGTCGTAGATTTCATTTATGGAGTCGTAAATGCCCTCCGGTCAAAGGGGGTGCTCCAAATTTCAAGGTGGCAACTAAATTTGAAAGGCAGGAGGGTGGATTTTTGAAATGTTTACGTGACATGGCAAGTGAGGTATCATTTATTATGTAATTTTGATCGTAGATTTCATTTATGAAGTCATGAGAGCCCCCCTGTCAAAGAGGGTGCCCCAAATCCACGATGGCGGCCAAATTTGAAAGCAGGAAGGTGAGCCAAAAAAACAACAATCACATTAGAAGGCAGGTTGGCTATCAAATTCTACGTATTTTTAGTCAAGGAGTCTGAATGAAATTTGAAAAATTAATTTTACACAAAAATGAGGCGTGACATGCATGATGGTGACCATCATGGCTGTCCAGGGTATGAAAAGACGTGAACATGAGCACCTAAGAGTTATTTTTGTTAACCTTGAAGCACATACATTCCCAATGAAGATAAGGATATTAAACGTGACCTACAAACTCTAGTCAATATGGGCGAAAATCTGAATCAGCACAGTCATTCAGCAGTAATTCATAGTCTGAGACAGGATTGTCAGGATCTTCTTCCTGGGGTGTCGCCGCGTTTATGAAGTCTTCTTAATTTATACGTAAGTCTGTGCAGCATTAGTTAATTTTCTGAAATTTTCACTTTCATACCGCATGGTGTACCACACCTTTTTTTTACCATTATACCGAATAATCTCACGCAGCGATTTCGGACTGGAGGCAAGTTGCTTGTAATAGGAGGAATTTCGTCGACATTTTTATCAAAGCATTCTCATTGACGAGGATTCAGATCGGCTCGTTCTATCCAGCTTTCTCTGTTCGTTTCAAGCTTTGCTTAGGTTTCAAGAACCTTTCAGCATTTTTGCATAGGTAAAGATCCGATATAAGCGTACCGAATATAGTTATGGTTTTCCGATTCTGTGCATGTGAGAGGTTAAATCGCAGCAAAAGCCAAAACGTATGGAACAGAAGCTGCTTACATAAACTTAGATCGATTCTGTGACGGATTCAAGGGATGTTGTGAGCAATCGTCTTGGACTTTCTGCAATTAATATCACATCTTAAGTGCAAAGAAAAATTGATGTTCTCGGATCTATTTTTTTTAAAAAAAAAAACGAATAGGTTCGAATCGTTTCCGTTCACAATAATTGTGTCAGTTTTCTTATGTACAAGGTGCACCACCCTCTTTGACGATATCAAAAGCTGTATCTCATTTCACATGCACGACCTTACAACCGGTGGATTCAAGGCGTGTGCCGATGATTTGGATACGTTTACTTTTAGTGACTGAATTTGTCAAAATTTACCTCTTTTTTACCAACAAAAGATAGATTTGGTGAGAAATTGACTGAAGGCGCGTATCTGAATTTTTGGCTTCTTTTAAGCCGAGTGGAGTCTTTAATAAATGGTCCATTTCCTTGTCACCCGTCAAATACTGCCGTGGCTTCAGATTACTTAGAAAAAAGAATTCGGCGTAGAACTGTACGATGATTTGAATTTATGAATCCAAATAATATCGGTTTGACCTCTTTTCCATGGTCCTCGGTGGAGTGAAGACCAACCATCTAAAACGTACTGAACTTTTACCGCATAATCCCAGTACTCACTGCAGGTATTTCAGATTTTTCATCCTCTGTGTCTAAGGCATCTGAACTTGAGTCTGAGTTATTGTGCACTAATCAGCGAGACACCTTTCCTACCATTAATGTTTTCTCGACTATAATGGTCACCATCATGCATGTCACGCCTCATTTTTGTGAAAAATTAATTTTTCAAATTTCATTCAGACTCCTTGACTAAAAATACGTAGAATTTGATAGCCAACCTGCCTTCTAACGTGATTGTTGTTTTTTTGGCTCACCTTCCTGCTTTCAAATTTGGCCGCCATCGTGGATTTGGGGCACCCTCTTTGACAGGGGGGCTCTCATGACTTCATAAATGAAATCTACGATCAAAATTACATAATAAATGATACCTCACTTGCCATGTCACGTAAACATTTCAAAAATCCACCCTCCTGCCTTTCAAATTTAGTTGCCACCTTGAAATTTGGAGCACCCCCTTTGACCGGAGGGCATTTACGACTCCATAAATGAAATCTACGACCAAAATTACATAGGGAATGATACCTCACATGAACCTATATGCGCATTTTAAAAATTCACCCTCCTGCCTTTCAAAATTGGCCGCCATCTTGGATTTGGGGCACTCCCTTTGATCGTATTTCTCCCTGACTATAAGGCACCTAAGCGGTAGTTAGTTTTCCGGTTAGAGGTTAAAAAGTCATCCGGTAAAGGCACCTTAGCAGGAGGAAGTTTTCCGGTTAGCGGTTAAAAAGTCATCCGGTAAAGGCACCTTAGTGAAACTCAGAAGATCTTGTAGTCAGGGTACTGTACCGCTAATGCTGTTTTATTCGACGGAACTGTACCGCCAAATAACGTTTTATTCGACGGTACTGCACCGCCGAATAACCACTTCGTAAAAATTAATAGGATAATAAAAACGTGAACTTATCCTTAAATTGTACACCTTTTTAGAAAATTTTCGTCCAAACCGCGACTGTATATCTCAATTTTAATGTCACCTACGGAATTGTCACGTTTTCTACTCGCCAACGCTGTAGCTTGAGAGGAAATTTGTTTATAATATTGCCATCGCTGGATAAAGGAACAACACGTTCAACTCGGGGCAAAATCCATGAGGGGGGCAAAATCGCTGTTTTTGGATAACCCCCTTTTGAAAAGTGAAAAAAGCTAGCTCCAGCGTACAGATGAAGAACAATAATGAACCGAGGATAAGGCCTTGCAGTACATGCCGATCAATAGCTAATTTCTCACTTAAGTATTCATGTCTTACTCTTGGCGTTTTACCCTTTAGGTGACCTTTAAAAAGTTCAAGGACTGTCCCCATAATACCTGAATACTTCAATTTCAAAATCAGTTTTTTATGACAAACCAAATCAAAGGCTGAAAGAAAACTGAAAACAGAAACCTCAGTTTAATACAGATTTCAAAAAAGCACACTCAGTTTGTTTAATGTCATCCTCTCCGTCGTCTCTAGGTATCAGGAATGGCAGCTTACACATTTTTTTGGCCTAAGCAAATCTAGGGTTACCGTTGTAACTGATTTCTATCAATAATTGTATTCCCTCCTGTGTCTTTGGAGATGCAAAAAACTGAACTAGCGACACTTGAACGAGACTGAGAGGGGGGGTGGAGCTCAGTCAAAATGGTGGAAAAGCGGGAAACCGAGGGACCACTTTCAAAATTGAAGGAAATGAGAGAGGGGGCTGACTTGGGGGATGCACCACACGCGTTATGGGCTTTTTGGAGCTTCCTCAGACTGTGTGAGAGATGAGCATCTAATGGCGCGTGAAATCCATCATCAGAAGCTCTGTAAAGGGGTGCATTTATTGATACTTAGAAAATCAAAGATGACAAACTGAACTTAGCTACGAATACAAAAAATGGCTGGCGGGGCTAATGCTAACTAAAGGGCTGAGTGGAGGGTGACAAATAAGGGGGGTGGGAGCCGGAAGCCGAACTCCCTTCCAAAAATTTAACCTTGCAAGGATGGTGGATAGACAATATTCCGTGCCATTCCTAGCTTGGTGTGTGCAAGCACAAACCGGTGTCGGAGGACTTGGCAAGGAGAAGGGTCTATGGAAGGAAGCAAGGTGAAAATCTTATAGGGACTTGGCCCGTCCGCGCTCATACGTCGCAGGAGCAGAACCAAGTCGAACTATACGAGGAGCTGTGTCAGAGACTCGGAGGCTGCTGGCTTCGGCCGCGGACCCCATCAAAGACAAAACACGAAAAACTGTAGAGGAACGCGAACCGGATGACCAGACAGCGATATCTATTGGTGAAGCATGGATACAAATTGTGGGAGAGAGAGCATGGAGGAGGGCAAATGTGCGGTGGGGTAAGGGGAGGCAAGTGAATCATGAATACGGAGCGGGCCTGGCCCCGAGATCCGAGGGGCCATGGGGAGTGGAAGGGGGCACTGAACGGGGCGTGAGTGCCGAAAATCAGGAGACTCAGAAAGGAGGGAAAAGGGGGAATTCTCTCTTTAACAGCACTTCTGTTCTTGGTACCATGAAGTCACTCATATTATGTTTTTTTCTCCTTTTTTTTCTTCTTTTTTGATCTTAGTAGACGTTATGAATTTTAGCATATTACTCAAACTGTAGATAGTTAATCATTCTTGTAATCGTTGCAGAAATCCATTGAATTTTCAATTTGTTTCTTGTTACAGAGAAAGTGACGGATGAAAAGCAAACATCTGAAGACTGGGCAGCTATCATGAACTTTTGCGATAAAGTAGGTGATTCTGAGCAAAATGCAAGAGATAGTCTCCGGTCAATATTGAAGAGATTAAATCATGAAGATCCTCACGTTCAGTTACTGGCCATTACTGTATGTATCAGTTATTTCAATTTCCATTTTTAGTCTAGGAACATTTTTAATGACTCGCAGGTTTTAATTTGAGTGCAAGAGCTTTCATTGGAACTGCTGTGTTTTAACATTTTGGTGTTTTTTTGGTAAACTGTTCCATGAAATTGCTCAAAATGTTCTAATCATTCTTATTTTTTAACGTAGGCAATTGAAGTTCCCAAGGAATCTTCTTCAGTGATACTGCTTATCTAGTTTTTCTGGAAAGCTGTAATAAAATAAGCAGACCTTCTCCAGGGTTGCTATGTCTAACACATGTTTTGCAACTTTAAACATTGAAATGAAACCACACCCAACCAAACTTCCTGTATTCTATTCATAGAGTACAATAGAGTCGCAATGTACTGGAGTGCAGATGAAGTCTTTTTTTGAGACTGTTTTGTCCAGGACTTCAGAGACTAGTGTGCGGCGATTAGCGGTACTGTATCCGCGGGGTCCGAGCTCCGGGGTCCGCTCAGAAAATATAGGTATAAAATTTATCTCATTAAAATCGGGAGTTCCGTACATTTTTTAATTTGTTATGATATTGGTCAATACAATTTGCCAAAATTCGCAAAAATAATAATTGATTTAAAATAATAAATCCCAAAAACCACTCACAGTCCGCGATTCTCTCATAAGCCGCCGTGTTACAAAATGCCGTCGGGTTCACACTTGGTTCACACTTTCCGGCAAACAAGGGGCTTGAAATGGCCCGTGCATGGATTGACTTCATTGGCGCTCCAGTACACTGCGACTCTATTGTACTCTATGATTCTATTATGGAGAGAGTCATGCTGAAAATACTAATGAAGATCACAAAGCGAATTAAGAAGTCACTCTTTGAGTAGTATCAAATGATAGAAAACATATTTAATCGCCCATAAGGTTTTAATTAGATCTTCATAATAAATTAAACGATAATCAGTGTAACAATGAAAAATACGTAATGGAAAAAAAAAATAACCCTTTTTTATAAAAATAAAAAAAGGATGACTTACATACGTCGTTTTATAGAAACTGTCTCTTTTGAATCGTTTTAAAAAATTAAGTGCTGGTTCAAACTATCTCATTTAATATTCCTAGTCCAAAATATTGGTCCAAAAGCAAAAATTGACTAGCCTAATTTTTGAAAAAGGTTAGCAAATTCATAACTCTCCGAACTATCAAAATCGATCTATATAACAGGTAAGTTTATTTATTTTATTTATTTATATAAATTGGTACATGAGCCAATAGCACATGGCTGTTATACAGGTCATACATACAATGAGAACAATGAGAAATAGAAAGAAATTAAAAATGATGTCTACAGGTTGAGGAATTCCTCTTCAGTATAAGGGGCTTTTGCAGCTGAAAGGCTCCCAAGTGAGTTTAGGAATGCAGTAATGTTTTTTAGTTTGAACAACTCCTTAACATTGCTTGGTAGTGTGTTGAAAAGTTGCGTTGCAGCAATTTTGGTATTATTACTTGACTTTTTTAGATGGTGTTTAGGGACTTCAATAAAAACATGCCTACTGTTGCAAGTGTAGGGAGGGGTTAAGTTCTCTGGCTTTATCATGTTGTTGAAAATAGCGAATTTTAGACATTCGTAGATATACAATGCGGGCAGAGTTAGAATTTAGTGCCTCTTGAAGATTTCCCTAACTGAATGGTCATAAGGCAGATTGAAGATAATTCTGATGAAATTTTTCTGCTCAATGAAAAGCTTGCCAGCTGATTGGCTCCTCCCCCATAACACTAAGCCATATCTTAGATGGGACACAATTTTGGCATAATATTATGTTACCAAGCAATTTGAAGGGACTATTTTAGATAGACTTCTGATTGCATAGGCATGGCTGTGTATTTCATTATTTACAAAGGCCATATATGATATGATCCTTCCAGTCAAGATTTTGATCCAGTATTATGCCTAAGAACTTGGCCGTCTCGTTGGTTTGTATTTCTAGATGATCATTGATAGAAATAATTTTACTACAGGGCGAGTTGGTTTGCTTTGAGGAAAAGAACAGTTCGTTGGTCCTAGAATGATTTAAGATTAGACCGTTTGTGGAAAACTAATCTGAGCTGCTGTTTTGTCATCAGCAAATAGGCAAAGAAACTCGATACAACAAGGTAAATTGTTGATATAAACTATAAAGAGCAAAGAGAAAAAGATTGAGCCCTGTGGTAGACGTATTAGAATGTTGGTAAATACTGAAAATATTAAACCATCAGGGGATTCTACCTTAATGGTCTGCTTCCTGTTATTGAGGTAAGAAGTTATTAATTTTAGGACATTACTATTGAAGCCTTAGTGCTTTAATTCGGCAATTAACAATTTGTGATCAACCTGATCGAAAGCCTTGAACAGGTCAAAATGAAGGCTTATTACTGGTGATTTTTCTGCCATAGCTTCTTATACAAAATCAATGAGCTTCGCCACTTCTTTAACTGTGGAGTGTTTCTTTCTAAATCCAAACTGATCATTGTTTAACAACATATTTCTCTCAATATAAGCTACAATCTGTTTACACAATAATTTTCAAAGACTTTTGATAGTGTTAATACGATCGACTTAGGCCTGTAATGTGTGATCATTGTTTTGCTGCCGTTCTTGTGTATTGGTGTTACACTTGCGATTTTGAGGAAGTCAGGAAATATAACCTGCTGCATACAATTGTTTAGAAGTTTCAGTAATGTTTGTCCCAAAATGTGGAAGAAGTCTTTGAAGATATTGGTTGGAAAGTCCCTGTGAGTACCTGATTTACATGGCTTAAGGTTATGTACAATTGCATGAAGTTCCTTCAAAGTCGGTGGTACAAAAGTGAATGTGTCATGAAGGGGTTCATGGTGACGAGAGAGGTATTGTAAGGCTATCTCTCTGTTAATTGAATTGGATAAATTTACCGTGATGTTTACTAAATAGCTATTGAATAAGTTGGCTATTTCTAGAGGTTCATGGATTTCAGAATCTCCATCAATGATTGTATCATGTAATGGACGGGCCTCGGATTTGGTTTCTTTGTTGATAATGTTCCAGACTTGTTTTCCCTTTTTTTAGCAGCCTCCAGTATTTGTTCAAACAGCGAAAAGCCTTTAGTTGGTTTTATATAAATGGCAGTTCCCCCCTCTGCTGTCAGTTCTCTGAAAAATGAGTTGACACATCTAAATCCACTCACTGATACCTGACACTTCACCCAGGTTTCTGTTAAACAGATAATGTCTGGCATGATTTTTACTTTTGCGAGTTCGATAGAGAAAAGTTTATTTTTGTTGTCGATACTTCTGACACTGTAGTTTACAACTGCTATCCTGTTCATTTGGTGCTGTTCTAGGGGCAAAAAATAGACCTTGGATTTTCATTTGTCATAAGATTTTAGTTTAAATTAGTAGGGCGAGGCGTCGGCACTGGGAGAGGGTTAAGTTTCAGTTTTGCCGCTATTCTTTTGGCCACGATATCTTTACCTGTTTGATTCAGATAAGTACCAATGTAATGATAGAACTTCTCTTTTAGATTATCAGTTCTAATCACAGTCACATTTATGTATAGTTTGCTAATTTCAAACATGATTTTGTTAGCGTTATCTTACTCTATAGTATAAAATCATGAGGGTGCCGTGTCGCGCTGAGGGTGTCACGCTGAGGGTGTCACGCTAATCATGTCACAAACCGGTTTCTCCTCCACTCCCCGCTCCCCTCCCGCCGCGCACGCTCACATGCTTCCCGCCGTCTCCAAACCGGGTTTTCCTTAACTCGTAATGATCTTTTAACGATCTCACGATATCTGCTTATTAGAGGCGCGAAGCGCCTCTGGAGGGTTGGACCTCGTAGCGGCCAGGCGGCGCAGCCCCCTAGTTTATTTCTAAATTCATGCGAGAATTAGATGGTACATCATATCTTTTAGGGATGTTAATTAAGGTTATTTGCACATCTGAAGTGGCTGACATGTTGAAGAAAGTCAGCAAAGATTTTAGGAAAAACGTGGCCTCATTCCTGTATAAATCCTAAGCTCCCGCTCAGATAACCATACTATGAGAAAAATTACTATCAAAATTATTACAAGTACTATTAAAATTATTAATTACACTGCTAAAGTCTGCGTCAGGCAGTATTCTTGTTGCCTTAAGGCCATACTTGGAGTTGAATATACTATCGAGGCCTCTTCCATGGCTATCTGAGAAGATACTTAAACCAGTTGTTGCGCCAGTTGGTGAGTTTGGAGGGTCAGGTCCAGTCGTTATTGTGGAAGACAAGAGAGGTAGACCTTGGGTAGACAATGGGCTGGCATCGGCAGGAGTGGCTGTTATAGTACTTGTAGGATCAGCTAAGGGAGATGTAGTTGGTGGTGTTATGCACGAGGTCCGTTTCTGTACTTCACTGTGATTTGACTTTGTGACCTTAGGTTTGATTTTAGTTGAATCATCAGATTGTGGAGTTGGCGAGTTCTTAGCTTGATTTTTGGATGTAATGAAAGGCTAATGTGGTTGGTCGGCGGCTTTCGAGAATGCTGGTACAAGTGAATGTGGTGACAATCTAGAATTCTTAGAGGTATTAGACAAGTAGCTGTAAAGGGTATGTTCAAGCTTGGTTACTTTAGCTGACAGGGAATCTACCTTACTTTTTAAGAGTTCACAGCAATTACAGTGGATACAATGCTGGAGTGAATCCTTATCCGAGCTAGTGCTGGATTGATTCCTAACCTCACTTTTGGGATTGTTTTCAGCTGTGGGAGAAGAGTTCTAGGTAGAGGTTGTTTTAATAACTTTGGCACTGAGGGTTAAAGATGACCGCAGAGTTTTAACGCACTTTTGACACCTCCACGATTTGACAAGTTCTGCAGTTCCCTCATGGGCACTGACACCTGAGCAGGTTCTCCAACCTACTCGGAGATGGACCCAGATACCACATTTACCGCATTTGATACCCCCCTTATCAACTTCCTCTCCACATTCTGGGCATGGATGTGTATCACTGACCTTTAATTATGCACTATTTTTGCTATTGTTATTACTTTTAAGAGCTGGATTTACAGAGCTCCTTACTGGCGTTGCTTTCACTTCCGCCATCCTGGAAAACAAAAAGTTGTTGTAAGTCGATGTACAGTGCACTCAATTTTTATAGAATCTCTTTTTTGCTCATTATAGGCAATGGACTTACACTCGTAGGCTATACATTGGAAGTTCGTTGGCTAAAAATTGGAAGTTCTAAAAAAGATCTTACCCATGCTTTTATAATTTTTTTTTTAAATTTGCAGTTCTTTTAAAGTGCATTTTTTATATACTTTAAATCCGTTATAGTAAGTTTCCCATAATTTCTTTCAGCTTCTGGATGCTTGTGTAAATAACTGCGGAAAGTACTTTCGTTTGGTGGTAGCATCAAGGGATTTCACTCAAGACTATCGTAAATTACTCAGCAAAGTCCAAGAGCCAAAAGTTAACGAAAAGTTGAAAATGCTGCTGAAAAAGTGGGCGGACGAAGACTTCAAAAAAGATGACCAACTTGCTTTAATTCCAGCTCTCTACAAAGACCTTGTGAAAGAAGGAGTTGTATTTCCGCAGCCAGAATTAAATGTAAGTTATTAGGTAATTCTGTTTTACCCAGCATCCAATTAATTGTCGGCCATTAGTGTCGGCCTCCCATGGTGTAGTGGTTGTAGCGCTAGCTCTATGTCCGGGAGGTCCCGGGTTCGATTCCAGACCTGGCGACCCGAGTTTGATGGTCTCAAACAATGGTTTCGTGGGACTGGTTGTTAGGGACGGAAGGGGGACGGGACTATAAAGAGCAGGATTAGCCTTTGTGGGCTACTGCCTAACAGAACTATGTGCATTATGATGTGAGGTCTGTCTTACATACATTCTTAGGGGTCTTAAGTCTCATGTTTTTATGCGCATGGTTCCGTTTGGCAGAAATACATCCAATTGTTTAATAGATGATTAGTCTAACCTTACAAATCTGCAGTGAACAGGCAACTGCTTTTCTTTACCAAGTGTGGCTGTGGCTATGCTCACTTTACCTGGCCATCCTCAACATGTGCACATACAGTGCAGTCGACGCTAATATGGATTATTTTTTTTTCAACCAACAGAAGCCAGTTAGTCGAGTTTTATCAAAAGAAAGGAATCAATATGGGCCGTTTCTGGGCCAACTCCGAATTCTCATAACTCTTTTCCAATTTTCTATATCTATTTAACAGAAGGGATTGGATATTGGTCCTTTTCAGGCTGTATTCAGGTTTTAAAGTGGCCTAAGCCTTAGTTTGAAGGACGATTTTGGAAAAAAACGTGGGTCTTTTAGCATCCAATGCGGTTTTCCTGCCAAACGTTGTAAGTAGCATTCCTGCCAAGCAGGAATTAGATGGTACATCTAGCACGTGTTAAAGCAGCAATAACTCCTTTGAGGATGTCAGTCAGAATTATCAGATTCACTTTTGACAATTATAGGTGAAATCAAACCTTGGGCTCATAGTTTCTAAGATACATAATTGTTTCGAATTTCTAGTTTTTCACTATTATTACGGATCACTCACAAAAGAGAGACTTCCTTACAGCTGATCCGAGCTTTCAACTATCATGGGCATGAAAATTGAGAATAAAAACATCAAAATTCTGCTTCTAGACATCAAGATGCTGAGATTAGGTTAATTCCCATACTCTTATGGGGAAACGTTCAGGGCTGGATCTACGAGTAAAAATTCTTCAAACGTTGGAGTGCCAAACCTGAATTTGACACTCTTTTTTCGAAAAATTCAATTTACATGATGGCGGCCTTAGAATGGCAATATTCTTGTATTTTTTTGGTTCTCCAATGTATTTTTTTTTTTGTTGTTAATTTTTATTTTGATGTTTCTTTAAGTACTTAAAACAAAAATGTGAAGTTAGTTCTAAATTCACAGGTTTTTTCAAGATGGCATCCTTAGACCAGCCGAAAATCGGTAGTTCTTGATAACTCTGCCGTTATGGCCAGGATGAAGTATTTTATAAACCGGCTTTATTTCCGGTTATAACCGGTTTCAGCATCCCAACACAGTATTGAATACTAAGTGTGAAACAATTTCATTGGAATACTGGGAAAATATCTCTTTCCCGTGATCGCAAGGCCATAATTTTACATAGGACTGGGTACCTTGAAAAACCAACATTAAATTGTGTGCAGTGTTCCCAAAAATACCTTGATAAAAAGTGTGGAGCAAATCCGTTCATTGGTTACTGAGATACTTTTTCTGCCATTTTGAACTGTAACCGGCGGTCATTTTAAAACTGAGATATAGATGAAGACCTTAACTTGGCGCCCAAAAATTTCTTATCTTGTGTCCTTTTCAAAGATGTATCACAAAGTAGGACTTTTTCAGTTGGAAGGTGACGTTCGGGTCTGCTTTTGTTCCCTAAGATTCTTGGGGGGCCGAAGAGTACTTTACTTTGACCTGAGAAATTCCTGAAGTGTTGACCCAAAGACCGCATCAGCGAAAAAGTTATAGGGACTTTGTAAATCACCTTGTATTATGTAAAACGTGAGATGCTATTACTTGAAACAGAAATTCAGTTTCAACCTAATAAATGGTGCAATGTACTTTTATCAAACTTATTGTAGCTTTGCTCATAATATTGAACAATTCTGTGTCTTCTATCTGTGGTGAAAATTTGCTTGATTCTTTTGAATACTGGGACAGGGTTACAATTTTATGGTGCTCAGGCTGAGAAGTGCTAGGTACCTTTTAAATTCTCATTAATTATCATTTATATCTCCTTTTTACTTAGTATCCCTGTCTTTCATTCTGTTTCAGCAGTCCAAAGGAGAGAGTCGAGAAGAGATAGAGGAAATCAATGATCTCAGTAAAGGTACATTTAACTTTTGTTACCTTTCCAATTTTAGTTAACTGGAAACCACCAGCTATTCCGAAAGAGTTGATTTTACAAAAATAAAAAAATGGAACTGTTTACAAAAAATTCATTACAGAGCGAGAGACAAACCTGAAGATCATAATTTATTTTCAAAACCGTCAGAACTATATTCTACTTTTTGGAAATAGTTTGGATGTCACGGTACACAAGTTGCATACATAATTTGCTATATAGCTCTTTCTGGCGCACCCTTCGGTTGGTCTCCAAGCTTTTGCATTCCTCAACTCCCTGACGGCTTTAACCACATCAGAGAGCTGCGGACTGATAATTGAAATTGATGGACAAAGCTATAGACAACAAAGACATAGGGAATATGGAGCGATCCTATTGATTGAAAAGGGTGGCTCCCATAGACAAACGGAGAGAATGATAGACTAACTGTCGGGTCTCACAGGGCTTGCCGTTAGCTAGTCTATTACCTTCCTCCTTTGTCCATTAAAACCATCCGCTTCCACCAATAGGATCTCTCCATATATCTTTCGACTGCTTTGTCTATAGCTTTGTCTATAATTTTCAATAATCAGACCGCTGGACTGATAAAGCAGATGCCTCATCGGTGTTTATCTACGTGCCTCCCTGAAACTCTGGTTGCCCTTTGGTCAATAATTTTCTAAAATGGTCCTCCAACTGGTGGATCAACATCAGAGATAAAATTTCTCACTTCATATCTCTTTTCAGGCATTTTATGTAATACAAAGACAAATGACCTGCATAGTTGAAAGAGAAAAGGCATAAAGGTGGAATGGAAATCGCCAAAAACCGGAAGGGAAAATGGAGGCGGAGTAAGAGAAGGGATAGGGGATTGAGTGGGCGCAGAAAGTGCAGATAGAGGTGATGCAATAGAAGGAAAAAAGAAGGAAGGGTTTACAAGGGGTAGTGGACATGCCCAGGGTTAGGTTTTTCCTTGGTTTTTCCGGTCAGGTTTGTTGTGTTACAGCCACCTGAGCTTACCTTTTTATGATGTAAAGGTCGACTTTTCCCGCTAGGGGAAAAGCCGCCTTGGTGGACCGGAGTCCTGAAGGGATGACGGATGGGACATCAAAAAAAAAAAGGAAAAGAACACGGAGTTAGGAGGAACCCTCCTATGCCCAACCTCCACGATGGATCGCACAAGTCATGAACACTAAAACTAAAGAGAAAACGAGGATTCAGCCCTGAAGGGCTGATTTCAAAAACAACTTACATCACGCAAGACCAATCCACACAGGTCTAGGAACGGAATGGCTGAAGGCTTGACATGTGTTTTCGGGTTCCCCGGCCTGCGCGCTGTTGGCGGAGGAAACCGAAAACACAAGTTTCAAAATTCTGGCGGGAGGGCTATTGACTCTTTACAATGAAAAGTAAGATTTTCTGAGCAAAGCCCGGAGCTGGGACTGCACATATGGCATTGCTAGTCACCGCACACTAGTCTCAGGAGCACTGGACAAAACAGTCTCGAAACATGACTTTATCTAGTATATTGTGACTCTATTGTACTCTACGGGTCTGAATTACCTAATTTTGGAGTAAATTCCAATTTTGGTGAGTGAGTATTTATTTTTACCTCTGCATTACCTGAAAAAGCAACAATTATTATTTCTCTGTATTATTACTGTTTCAAACTCCTGCAATAGAAAATGCTGGAATCAGTTCCAACCTCTCCTCAGAGAATTAAAAACAAATTCACATGTTTCATTTAAAAATTGTAACAGTTTCAATTAAAATTAACAGTTAATGTAACAAAACTCACGCACATCTTTGTCATTTATGAGTGCTCCCTACCTCTTTTTTAGCCATTGAATTGAGTTTGTTAGAGAGCACCAGCCCGTCAAAATCAACTGGTGCCAATAGCAATTCCTTGTATCCTTCAACAAAATTACACTCAACTTCACAAGACTGTCGGAAAGTGAGAGCTCTGTATGACTTTGAGGCGGCAGAAGATAATGAACTAACTTTTAAGGCTGGTGAAATTAGTAAGTTTTCACTCTCTTATGTCATTCATTTTTATAGTTGTAATTAAGAAATTGTTTTCAATAACTATGTATAGCAAATGAAATATTCTAATGCATGAAGTTTTGACAAAAATTGATGAATTCCTAAAATTTCAAAGCAATATTGAAGGGAATACTTTTCTTGATCGATCGGCCAAAAGGAAAACATTTGAAACGTACTTTGCACTTTACAGTATAGAAAGCTGCAAGTTTATTTATACATGGCTTTATGGAGACTCTTTTTTGCTCTCCAAAAAAATCGCATTGAGCAGTGTTGTAAGCACAAAGTTGACCAGAAAGCTAAAAGAAAATTGGTGCATTGTAGTATAAACACGTTTTTCACAAGTAAAATAGGATACAATAAAACAACTGTCGAAAATTACAACTGAAAAAGAGTCAATTTTTTCTCACCATTGAAGTAGTTATCTTTTAATGCACTAAAGTGAGTTTTAAAAATGTCCCTCAAACCAGGGTAGCCACGGTCTTTTGACATTCTTTTTGTCAACTTGACAAAGTGCTAACCGCGAGACAATAGGGGCCAAGCTTGAAATGACCTTGAGTCATGATCAGGAAGAAATGAGGGGAAGATTTTGAGATTTTGTCTGGATATTTTGTTTACTTCCCCATAATGTTTAAATATTTTCTATGGATTTTTGCCTCCCTTCATCACTACTTTAAGTTTTTCCTTTTAAAATCATTAATAGAATAAATGTCTAAGAATATTGTTGGCGATCTTTTGATTTGAAACAGTGTCGCCGGTTTGTGAAATTATAAGTCGTTATCTTTATACCTGTACTTTACATGGGCCAAAAAAAGATTTTCCTGTATAATCGGAGGATGGGGTGCCCCAGAGAACTTGCCTATTTAGAGTCTCTTAAACGGCGTTGCGGTCTGTTTCTACAGTGTTGCCAAAAAATCTGAAGCTTTAGGTACATCCTGAAACAAAGATCTTCAATGGGTCAGTGCCCAGGAATTTTTAAAATAAATTGTCGTGTGTAAATTTATGTAGAAAAACCAAAATGTTCCAAAAAGTTAAAAAAGTCATTTCCAAGAGGAGGAAAAGCTTATCAAAATCTGACCAATCAAAAGCCAACAGATGAGTTGGATTGCATTTTGCAAAAACGAACCACTAGCATTGCAATGTTGCTAAGATTGTGCAACTTCTTTTGTCTTGGAGGAAAAACCCGATTATCCATTAATTGTTTCTATTTTACTCGCTAAAAACTGTAAATTTAAGACAAAAATTACCATCTTAATTTTATAGTTTTTCACGATTTCTGCAATTTTATTGCAAAAGATGAAGTTGCACAATCTTAGCATCATTGCAACGCTAGTGGTTCCTTTTTGCAAAATGCAATCCAGTTGATGTAGCAATATGAAGCCTGAATCATAGGGTGTCCCATATTTGAACCATCCAAAACATTTTCTCAGATCATCGATGTTCGATGGTTCTGTTGTGTCTTTATGTTAAACATTTATCTCCGAATTTGAGTGAAAACTAATGATTTGTAGTTATGCCGCAACACGTTTTTAGTCGCGGCAAAAATGTTTGAGACTTGCCTTTTTAGCGTTTTGGATGCAACTTTCGAGGGCAGTTAGCAGCAATTACAGGCATCAAATTGTTTTTTATCGTGACTTTGCATAGTAGGACGTGCAAGTAATTATGTTTGTTTTCACGTTGTAAACCTAAAAATTTTACTTCAAACCCCTTAAAGTTTTACAAAAAATTCTATTTTTCCCTCTTAAGTAACTAGTCCAGGACTTGCATGAAAGTTAATGGAAAAAATGTTTAACAAGCTGATATTTGGCACAGGGAATCTTTACGACCCCCTGAGTCCCCCCAGAAAAGTCCTCATTGATAGCATCGAGGATTTGGAATTTGAGGGGGGGGAGTGCCAAAAAATCGGTTTTGCCGGCCAAAACACAGGAATGGTTGCTCGTATCACTACGAACAGCACCATTTTCTGAATCTTTGTAAAATTTTGGAGCGATATGCCTCTTTACCGGTTTCCCGCAGCCCCTGGTGCTCCCCAAAATTACAAAAACATCATTTCGAGGCATATTTCTGAGAGTAATTTTGCAGGGAAAGGGGTTCATTCAAAAACGGACCCCCTCCCCCCCTTGGATTTGAACCAATTTCTAGTATGTTATTCTACTACATTGGATAAGCCTTTCTGCAAAATTTCAAAGCCTAAAACGAATTTGTTTCCGGACAGCAGTGTCGCAAGTGTAAAACTTAAAGTCCATTCCGAGTGCGTCATTAAATTGGAGATTTCATTAATTTAAACTTACAATGTTTCTATGTTTCATTTTTTTCCGTGATCAATATTTTTTAAATTAGGGTACATTGTCAAATGCCTCTTTTCAAAATCAAACAAAACACTGTTGATTGTATTATTCGTACTTTTCCATTTTGATATATTATACCTCTCAGGGAAACGACGGAGAAGGAAGTTACGAGCAATTTAACAATGACGATCCGCGCGCACCGACAAAAATCCGGGCGCCGCACAGTGCGGCACTTCCATAAGCGGCGTGGACAAAAATCAAAGGCACCGTCAAAATGGACTTATGGAACCATAAACGGCATGAAATTATCAATTTAGCCCCCCTAGACCTTTGTGTAACGGATTTTGACTTTTCCAGCATCTGAGAGCTGGCCCTGGCACAATAGGTCAAACGTGGCTATACACTGTATATGCAGGGTGTCCCAAAAGTCCATACCCCCCCCCCCTCGTAACTTTTGAACGGTTAGAGATAGAAAAACGAAACTTTGGGAATGTTTCTATCTTAAAGGGGACCATCTTCTAGGGGGGGTCAAAATTTTTGTCCCCCCCTCAGGGGGGGCGTGGGGGCCCCCAACTTTTTTTTTCAAATGGTAACCCCTATCTTGTGATACATCATTAGAAAGAGCATAAAAAACTAAGACTTTTGGCCCAAACTGCAAATCAATATCTTACTTTTTGACCGAGTTATGATAGGTCAAAGGTCAAATTTGACCTATTTTCAAAAAATCATATCTCCGGTTCAAATTATCGTAAAGACAAAAGCAAAACGGGAAACTTTACCAAATTGTAAGCACTTTTAAGTAAAAATCACAGCAATTACTTCAAACTAATTTTATGGGGGGTTTCCGACCCCCATATACGTCATTTTAAAGGTCACACGATATTCTCGCGAAATGAGCCAATTTTCCCTTACTTTTCCTCAACATTATCTTAGTGAGTTAAAAATTAGTTCAACATTGCGTTTTCAAGTCCCCAAATTTCGGGCAAAGTTTTAAAAAAAATGAAATTTCAATGGTTGAATTGAATCACCTTAAATTTTGTTTTTTGAACTTCGCCCGAAATTTGGGGACTTGAAAACGCAATGTTGAACTAATTTTTAACTCACTAAGATAATGTTGAGGAAAAGTAAGGGAAAATTGGCTCATTTCGCGAGAATATCGTGTGACCTTTAAAATGACGTATATGGGGGTCGGAAACCCCCCATAAAATTAGTTTGAAGTAATTTGCTGTGATTTTTACTTAAAAGCGCTTACAATTTGGTAAAGTTTCCCGTTTTGTTTTTGTCTTTACGATAATTTGAACCGGAGATATGATTTTTTGAAAATAAGTCAAATTTGACCTTTGACCTATCATAACTCGGTCAAAAATTAAGATATTGATTTGCAGTTTGCGCCGAAAGTCTTAGTTTTTTATGCTCTTTCTAATGATGTATCACAAGATAGGGGTTACCATTTGAAAAAAAAAAAGTTGGGGGCCCCCGCGCTCGCCCTGAGGGGGGGACAAAAATTTTGACCCCTCTAGAAGATGGTCCCCTTTAAGATAGAAACATTCCCAAAGTTTCGTTTTTCTTTCTCTAACCGTTCAAAAGTTACGAGGGGGGGTACGGACTTTTGGGACACCCTGTATGTAACTAGGAGTAATAGAACTCAATATTGCGACTGAATATGCGAAGTTTCATTTTATTTTAAGCAATTTTTAAAATTAATTATTTTCGATAGCAGTCAATACCGACAATTTTTAGCAATATTTGGAAAATTTGGAAGTCAATTTTCAATTTTTGTCCCTGGTATTCATCATTCCACATCCTCAATTTTCAATTTTTGTCCCTGGTATTTATCATTCCACATCCTCATTGACAATGCGTACAAAAATCATTGCTACGATAAAAGAAGTTTTTGACCAACAAGAAAACTTGACCATTTTTTTCCTTAAACGATATTCTGACACCTTCACATCCCAGAAAGGTGCTATACGAGGTCTGTTAGATTAGAAACCGGATTTTGGTGATAAATAGCCCAGTGTGCGTCCGAATTAGGTTTTCTTGAGTTTTCCTGATAGCTGGAAATATACTTAAGAACGCTACGTTTCCAGATTTTATTTATTTTGATCAGTGTCTATTCTATGTCATCTTAAATACGAGTGAGTCAGGTGCGTTTTGCGATTTTCATCATGCGATCACTGATAGAGCAAAGATTCAACATCAAATTTTGTTTTAAACTCAGTATACTTTGTACCGAAACTTTTGGTATGCTAACTAAAGTTTACCAAGATCATTGTATGAGTTGTTTCCACTGTTTTGAGTGGGTCAAACGATTCAAAACTGGTCAGGAGTCTGTCGAAGATAAGGAGCATGGGAATCGACCATCAACGGCAACTGACATTTGTCACATGGAAGAAGTGCGGGCAAAAGTGCTCGAAAATGGTCGTTTCGAGTTCGCTGAACACTAATATTTCTGAGGGCTCTGTACATACAATTTAGATTGAATATGTAGACATGCATCGAGTTTCAGGTACACTTGCCCCTTGATTGTTGTCTGCTGAACAAAAATCCAACCAAATGTCAATTTCCCTTTAACTGCTTGAACGTTCTAACAATGATCCTGCATTTTTGGATAAGATAATTTTCGGTGACAATACTTGAGTGTACGATATGGAGACGAAACTCCAATCATCCTTGTGGGTTGAAAAATGTAG